AAGAAGAAGAAGAAGAAGAAGAAGAAGAAGAAGAAGAAGAAGAAGAAGAAGAAGAAGAAGAAGAAGAAGAAGAAGAAGAAAATACACCCAATTACCAGTACTTTAAATCTCGAGTTAAAATTAATTGTAACCCAAATAGGAATTCTGACTATAGGAACTTAACTGTCATTGATGTAATACTGATGTATATTGATGTATGTAACTCAAGATAGTTTGTTTGGGATTTAATAGAAGCTGCCTGGGGTTAAAAGAAAGCAGCCAATACACTTACTCAGTACCCATTCTAATTTCTCTAAATTGACTGTGGTGTCTACCTAAACTTAAAACTCTAACCCAGCATAATTACATAATTTGGTTTATTAGATACCAATGTTTTAATCTATTAGACATTCTATGGCCTGATTAAGTGTTCAGCAACATTCTTATGCTGATCTACTTAGAATTATAGTGCTAACATTTTTAAAAGTTTTGAAAGAAGGGCAATCAACTTTGGTAGTCTACAGCTACTTGGTTGCGATAAATGTAAGTGGTTAATTTTATGCAGTTGCCTCAAGTTAAGAAGTTAAGTGTTAAGCCAATAATAATTACCCAGTACAAAATTATTGTCTCACTGAATGAGTGTCTAATACATACAGAAAGGTGAAATTATCTGACAAAATACATTTCAAATTAGTGTGACCATTCAGAAGCTTCTTGTATTTCCATGTTCCATCTCAGCTTCCATGCAAAAGGCTAAGCCGAATGTCTGCAAAGAGGTTTTGGCATAATCTTGAATGACAAATGACATACTACCAGGTGCCAAGATAGGCAGGGGAATATAGTCACCCCCACTTTGAGCCTTAACTGAAGTAGCTTTGTACTTAGTGCCCTGAATAATTAATAACTCCTTTGGCAATCAGTCATGCATTCCTTAATGGCACCTAAGGCATCAAATATCCCATTCACTGGCTCTTCCACAAGTAACAATAGACTTTAGTACACTGGGTGTTCTATGCCAAGTTGTAAATGACATAATTTAAACTAAACAATGAATATTACCCAGACTCAAAATGGAATGTTTTATTAGGTTTGTTTACATAATATATAGTTGCTAAGTAAACCTGATAAGGATTTGAGACAGACTTTCTTAATATAATTTTTGCCGAGTGACTTCTCTTTTTGCGCAAAATTTTATCATTAAAAATACCTTTATGAAGTCCAGAATGAAAAACATTTTTTAAAAAGATAAAACACATGGACAGGTAAAAATATTTGTAGAATTTACAAAAAATATATTCTAATGATCCAAGACTATGTATCTGAAGAAATACCATAATCTGATATCTGGATTTGATTTAAGGTATTTGTCATTTTTTACAATATTACTATATACAGATGTATCAAACATCCTCTGCATTTGGTGTTAAACACACACACAGGCACACACATCCCTGCATATAGGTAAAAATAAAAATATGTTACAAATTGACACATTTCTTTTAATAATCAAAGTTTTGGTAATTTATATTTTGAAGCAGAATATTATGATTGTTTAGAATAATTAATTATATTATAGAATTAAAACAACATCGCTACTGACATACATTTAGGACAGTTCTTCTCTGTATGGCGCTAATAATAAGTATAATCATGCACTATTTTATTTAATGTTTTTAATCATCTTTCCTTAGCCTAGAGGGATTTTTCATGATTTAAAACCAATTAATGAAAATGTACAGATAACATTACTGTAAGTAAAAAAAAAAAGTTTATCAGAAATGCAGAAATGATTAAAAAAAAAACTTTATTGAAATCAAAACTTTAAACTTTCACCATATTCAATATGTAAAATTTAAGCATTTGAGTTCATTACAAACTAAAATCTAATCTGTTTATGTTCTGTGACATTACAGTCATATAAAAGTATATATACTTTTCTCAGAAGAATATGTATAGTACTCGACCAGACAGTTCTACCTATCAACACAGAGAACAGATTCTCAACAATGCCATATTTTGTTTATCTATTCAACTTCTATTTTTTTGGGGTAAAGATGTAGAGAAGTCATTTAATGTCAGCAACTGAGACTGCTGGAACTACCATCAGTAAGGAAGGTTGTCATGTGGTTTTTCTATTAATGACTGCTTTGCTTAGCAAAGGAGTAGGCATTCCTAATTAGGGTTGTTAAGTGAGGACTACCTGTACTTCAAACAAATCCAAAATGCATAGTTTTGAATCAATTTTACAATTACATTTTCCAACTTTCATAACTTGGATCCCAACTTCTCAAACAAAATATTTAATTCCCCAAAAGATACCTTTTTCATTAAGAAATAGAACAGAAAGGTTAATTAAGATAGCAAAATCCATCTTACATAAATCAATTAGGAATAGAAAAAAAATGAAACATGGAAGAAATGCTTAATAAATTTCCAACTATTGTTTTAAGTAGCCTACAATACCATCCATTTATACTTTAGTAGTACATGTAGCAGGACAATAACAAAAACTAATCAGTCTCCTTGACATCCAATCAAATTACCTCTTCTATTCAGTTTTCGTTTAAGGGATTACCTCAAAGTCTTCATTTAACAACCACAATTGGGACTGGCAACTCAGTCATTAAGCAAAATGGTGGCTAAGTGAAACCATGATCCAGCCTATGATATTCCTTCACTTTTCCTTGGCTTTTCAGACTTGCAAAGGTCATGTACGCAAGGACTGGTCAGAAACTTATTTTTTTTCAAAACTATTGTAACTGCACAGAGTTGCTGCCTGAATCGATTTGCTACGTGACAGCTAGTTGCACTGACTTTTGTCAGGCATATTTCAGTTGGATTCCTGTAATCAACCAGAGGTTCCAAACCTTTGATTCCACTTTTGTGTTATTCCTTAATCTTTCATCATTATGCTTTGAGAATCAGATACTTACTGTTGTAAGAAGATTATAATGAATATGGAATCCAGGTTCAGAAGGAAAATACTCATCAGAAACAAATCTTATCCTGATTTGGTTTCCTTTAGAAATCTGCTTTCCTGGAACAGCAGCAGAACCACACCACCGCCCTAAGACGGTGCCATCACTGGGCTCTTCCACTTCTACGAAGTCATACCTACAGCAAAATATATATACATACATATACATTTAATCATTGTTATATGCACACGGGAATACTTATGAACAAGAGCAAAAACAAAGCCATGTATATATAAGTACATACAGTGAATAGTAAAGTATTTTAAATGAACAAAAACACAAAAACAGTTTTAAAAAAAGTAACCAAAAACATATATAACCACACTGAAAAGTACTCATTCTTGCTGTTTCTGGTGCACAGTAAATCCATAATTCTTTTATAAGTGATAAATTCCAAGGTTTTTGTACACAATTAAAATGCACATTCATATCTTATGTTGTGCTGATCTTTCTACCAGTTAAATGACTGAATAAAATAGCAATAGTCCATATTATATATATGTACTTATCAATTTCATTCAGCATAATGAGATTGACATCAAAGTTAAACCTTTTAAGAACGTTTTCCAGAATATCAGCTGTAAAAAAATAGTTTGTTGAATTAGTTTCGGTATCATACTTAATAACTTATTATATTAATAAATTTATTAATTAAATCAAATGCTTAATTCAGAAATGTTATAAATAACAAATATTTTCTTTCTTCCTTATTTTTTTTAACAGTGGTCTTTGCCTGTATGTTTTAAAAAATTCTGCCAAAAATACATGTCTTTGAGATGCAACTTGAGGTGCATCTGGAGAAAAAATTGAGATCAAACATGTTTTAAGTGAAAATATTGCCATTTCACAATTTCAAGCATCTAGATTTTTCTTGCAGTAATGTTTTAGAATGTATTTGACAAGAAACCAAAATATACATGATCTCATTTACAAGTTAATTAAAAGTATTTGCAATTTTCCAAATGGGATTCTCTCACAATATGAATTGGTTATGTAAGAGTTACAATAATACGACTGACTCAATATCTTCCAATTGTGAATCCACAATAAATATACCAGAATTATTGCTAAGCACCTCCAAGAATATCAGTGGAGTCACGTAATAACTTTCTAATTTTAGTACCCCCATATGTGGGAAACATAGTACTTGCTGAAATAGGTCCTTATCTGTTTGCCAAAAAGGTGCTTTTAAGTCTTCCAACAAAAATTTCTAAGTGGATTTTTCAATATAGATATATTTAAATATTGCTTCTGAAAAAAGGTTGTTCAAGCAGTCATTGACAATATTACTAGGGAATAATTGGAAATAATAATGATTTTCAATCCCCCAAAATAAGTAAGAAATCTGCTCTAATCTTAAGTAGAATCTGCAATGCTACTAATATGAAAGGGAAAGGAAAAATGTGGAAAAATTCTTATCCATAACTGTTAACTCACGTTTACAAAACAAGAATTGAGATACAAACCATGGTTCTATCAACAAACAAAATAGGTAGGATGTACTTGCTCAGTTAATGGGGCTGCTTATGGTTAAACGTTAATCCATTTATTTAAAATTATTAATGCTCCTTTAGATTATCTGAATCAATCCCCAAATGTAATCATTTGTTTAAATCCAAGCAATACATAAACCTGACTTCTTGCTGATTAATCTCAGTCTCGTGAGTCCAAATCCTTTTCATGTTATTTGTATCTTTTGTTTGCAATATTGTGTATTTTATTTAATAAAATACTCAATAATTAAACAGTTTTGATTGCTTGCATATTATTTTTGAAGTGACATCAAACACATACATCAACGACATTCTTGACATGTTGAAAATGATATAAGACTTGACACATGAAGTGAAACAATCACTGACAACCAGAATCTCATGTCTGTAGGTGATCGTTATAATTCCTGTAATAGAATTACAGGTATTGTATTGCACTGTCCAAATCAGTATTTAAGGAGCTTTACTAAGCTTGCTTTTTTTTGTCCAATGAAATGTAGGTTTCTCTCAGCAACATGATACAGAGCACACTTGATACTTAAAGCAGTTTATAATGACCACATCTCTTCTCAGACATCCTCGGGGACTTGAAGATTACTTATTTTCTTTCATGCTTTTCAAAAACAAGCCTGTTTTTGCAGACACAATGCCTGTTGGTGTAATAAAATTCAAAAACAGAGGGTGGGTTTACTGCAGTAAGTTTGGCTTCCAGAACGTAAAATATCTTAGCTACTTCAAATAAGAGTAAAGAAAGCATATAGTGAGGAAGACTCAGTGGCCACATTCCAACTGTTTTTTTTTTCTTCTTCTTATGAGTTCTAAATATTCTCTTAATTGCGTAATAGAATTACCGGAATTTTTTTTCTCTTAATTTTTTCAAGTAGATGTTTCATTTAATTATAAGAGGAAATGAACTTAGTTATAAATTTACTTTTTATCAATGGTAGCTATTGCATACAGAATTGGAACACGGTACAAGTGCCCTATACACTTGAGTTCTAATCTGCATCCTCCATATAAAATCTCCATATAAAATATTAAATATGCCCATTTAAAATTAAATAGACTGGATGAACTTTTGAGATTGGTCCATTTAACTTCTAGTTTGTATTCAGTAATGGACTAAACCCTTGTCCCAAAGGTGCTTTTCTAAAAGGCAGCTTCAAGACTTTTTCCAAAAGTCTTGTTTCTCTTTGAAGACATTCTGCTTCTCATCCAAGAGGCTTCTTCAGTTCTGACTGAATGGTGGAGGATGGAAGGATTTACATTCCTTGCAGTCATCTGATCGTTCGCACTCTTTCTGAGAGTCTGTGAGGTCACTTGGGGATTTATCTGTGCCCTCAGGGTCACCTAAATGGTGCAAATGGGTGTGGAACCGTCTTGGAACTGCTCAAATGACTGTGTTGTAAGCACGGCTAACCTTTTGAAAAAGCGGTGTCCTTTGGGACAATCATGACCTGGATGACTGAGCATCTCCACAGACATTCAACAAAACCCCTTCAAGTTTGGTTATGCTTCCTCATAGTGGTGTGAGATGTGTGTTCTTGGAAGAGATGTACAAAGAACATCCGAAATCTTATGGCTTAAAATCAGGCTCAGGTAAAGCGAGGGTGTCAAACTCATGTCATCACAGTGGCACCATGTGACATATCGGGACTTTTTTTTCCCTTCGCCAAACCAGGAGTGGGCATGGCCAGGGCATTTGGGGCGTCCGGCCCACTGGCCGGATGTTTGACAGCCCTGACCTAAAACATGAAGACTATCCCAGTTGTCCAGCTAAAGTACACAGAAGTCTCTACTGGGCAGCATGACTTAAGAAAATGTTGGAGGCATATGATGACTTGAGTGACAATGGCAAAGACATCAGTTAATATTACTGTATGCAGGAGGTGGCAATGATAAACCACTTATGTGATAGAAAATACAAAATGATTCATAGTAGAGGAGAAAACGTAGTAACCTGTGCTTTGCTGATACTAATTGATAGCCAATAATACAAAGGATCTTTCAGCTCTAGTACAGGGGGTCAAACTTGATTTCATTGAGGGCCACGTGAGGTTACGGTTGACCTCAGGGGACCAGGGTGGGTGCGGCCAGGTTGATGTCGCTCGTGCCCAGGGGTGCATGTAGTGACTCAGGTGGGGCTAGCGGGATCCACTGTCTCCAGCAGAGGAAGGCGAAAGAGACTCAGAAAGAGAGCCAACAACATTAACACAAAACAATTTTAGAACGATAATTTGGATTGTGCTCAATCACCAAATATTTTTATATTACAGACAAGTTTACTTCATTCCAACTGTCTGTTCGACGCAGTACATACAACAAGTGAGATATTTCATGAAAAATGAAATATTTTCTAATGGTATGGGGAAAATAATTAAGTTACCAATCTTATAGCTTTCCAAACAAATACACACATGAAATCAATTAGACAAATAATTTAATACCTAATTTATCGAAGTGGTTTATATTCAAGTGACTATGCCACCACTGCTTAACACAAGCTGCAAAATAATACACATGTGTCAAATAATTTTGATCCTCCCCTCCATTTCTGGCAATAAAAATACAAAATATTAGATTATCTAAATTATTTACTATTCTTTTATGACAAGCCAATCAGTTACCTCAATCTGCTCAATTGCAGGCCATTTCGTAACTTTTTAAGCAGAACACAGAACTGTAAATAGCAGTTAAATATTGTGTCAAATGTTGGAACAATGCCATCATGTCTCCCCTAGTCATCTGTTCATTAGACTAGACATATCCAATTCCTACAACTGTTCTTCGAATGTTTTAGCCTCCAGCCCCCTAATCATTCTTATTGCTCTTCTCTGAATTCTTTTCAGAGTCTCAATATCTTTTTTATATTGTAGTGACCAGAACTGGATGCAGTATTCCAAGTGTGGTCTTTCTAAGGCTTTGTTAAAGTGGTACTAGAACTTCAAGATCTTGATTCTATCCCTCTATTAATGCAGTCTAAGATTGCACTGGGTGCCAGCGTGCATTGTTAGCTCATATTTAAGCGACTGACTACTAGGATTCCAAGATCTCTTTTGCAGTTTATTCATTATTATTATGTATTTATTAAATTTATATTGCCACCTATTCATTCGCTCATGGCGACTCAAAGCGGCGTATAGAATATAAAAACCACTTAAAACCATAAAACTAATTTAAAAAATCAAATAAATTAATATAATTAATACCTCTGTGGCACAGTGGTTAGAGTGCAGTACTGCAAGCTACTTCTGCTGCAGCCAGCTGCCTGCAATTTGGCAGTTCAAATCCCACCAGGCTCAAGGTTGACTCAGCCTGCCATCCTTCCGAGGTGGGTAAAATGAGGACCCAAGACTGTTGAGGGCAATGTGCTGACTCTGTAAACCGCTTAGAGAGGGCTGGAAAGCACTATAAAGTGGTACAGAAGTCTAAGTGCTATTGCTATAGTAATAAAATCATAATAAAATCACCCCAACCCCCGCTCCAGTGACAGCAGATCACACGAGCCAGTTAAGCCATCCCATTCTGGGTTCCCAGGTCTGCTGGCAGAACCAGGTCTTCATTGGGCAGTGGGCAAGGGCTGGATCTCTCCCCTCCTATCAACACTGACTGAGAGTGACCGCAGAGGAAGTGAACCAGGATA